AACAGCTCATAGAGCAAGAAAGGAATAAGGTCAGGCAACAGAAGGAGCCAGACGCTGGCGGCAACATGAAGACCGAAGACGTCAATGACTGAAAATAGAACGTTGCTGATGAGTAGGGAGCTGGACTGTTCCGAGATGTCTGTAGTTTTTCCTTGCAATGGCAAATACTGTATACGATAAACAACTCACACATTTTCGTGTCACGGGTATTATTTTTTCCGTTTTTAATTCTCTCGTTCTTTGTTAAGGCATAATTATTCCTTTCACTTGCTGGATGCAAAATGGAGTGGCGAATTTTATAGAGAGTCTCTTCTTTGAAGTAAACGTTTTAAATAGTGACACAAAAGATCAAAGGGCAGACATTTAAGTACTTAAATAGAATAAATTAGCAAACTGTGGAAAATTTTTGAGTGAAACTAAAGACTGATTTCTGTTGCAAAGCGTTTTGACTGGATAGACAGATTATGCTAACAACAGAAGTCCCTTTAAAGTAGAATCGTTTCTTTTTCAAAGGGAGATCTCTTATACTTGTTTTCTCTGTGTTGTAAGCGCCTTGTTTTCAGCTCCCAATTAATAAAATTAAACCACCGGATCGATTTAATCATGCTCGAAAGAAATCAACGTCAAAGGGCTGACATTATCTTAAAATTTGTGGGGTTTATGCATGGTTATATCGCCGGAAATAAGGACATATCACTCAGATGTTCACGCTTCCCTCAGCGAAACTTTTTTGAAAAAAGAAGACACGACAACTTCGTCTGAGACACGTGGTGTCCAAAAAAGAAAAAAAAAAGGGATTAAGGCCAAGGCAGGCTTAGAGAGTTAAAAAGGATAGAGTTCATAGAGAAACATTTAACATTGTTTAGGTAAAACTATGACGTTTGTTTTAATCACACAGGCCAACCAATACAAGTGGTAATCTCTTTAGCTGCTTCATGTTCATCCATATAGTGGAAGAGGATTTCATTTTATATTCCTCCTTCTCAAGCCGAGGTCAAATGATGGTTTTGCCAAACCTTTTTTGGTGAACAATGGAAATTGACCTAAGCCAAAAACAGACCATGTTTTTTTGTTTTAAATTGAATGTTCCTGGTGTACTTGGTTAATTACAGCTATCATTTTCGACTCTATGGTTATAACCTGCGTCACGTCTTTCGAATTTGCTTGATTTCGTCGTTCCCATAAATCATGGAATTCGTGCAACAAGTTTAAAAACTTTGAATTGTTTCTGTTCCTGCCTAGGCTACAACCACGCACCAATTTTTGTGGTTCACATTCAACGCGACGTATTTCTCTTTTATAACCAGTTAGAGTTTTGGTTCCTTTTTTCCAGCTGAGATGATTCACAAAGGTAACACCGAAGATAATTATCAAGCAACGATTGAATAAGCCACCAGGCAGACTCAAGGAAGCTATTCAGAAAGTGCTTTCCAGTCTTTACCACAGCCTTTTCATTCACACTAAAAAGTGTTCTAACACCTTTCTTTCCTGTGGATAAAAAGCTTGTGTTTACTATAATTGTTATATTTGATTCGAATCCGGTCCGGGGAAATAGTGGTACCAAATGTTTTTCACAAAGCGACGAAAAGGCGTTTATAACATGTTTGTCAAAATTTAGATAGTTAACATGACTTATTCAAGCTCAAATAAAATAAAAATTGGAAAATGTTATGACTAAAATAAGGAAGTTTGTATGCTAATTGAGAGGTTACTTGCATGATAATTTCGGGCATTGCCAAAATTCAAACTTGTGAAAACGTTACTCAATGAATATATGTATGACCAATTTCATTTTCATCAATTCCCACTAAATAAATTCAAACTGTACTATTCTAACTCGCTCTATCCTAAAGTTCTGCACTTTTAAGCTGTTTCTGAACCAACCCATGCATGCAGTTTCTGTTTGCATATGTAAACGTTTCGCTCTGAAAGGGCGTTTTAATCTTATCGCCCGCATGAATCGAACAATGGAGAAAAGAACATATTGTTTAAGGTAAGGTGCACGTGTGAAATTTGTTATTCAGTTTAAATGCATTTTTCAGTGTTTGGTTGCCTAGGTTGTTAAACAGAGAAGCCCTGATATTTCACGGAAGGTCATAAAATACGTACACGGAGTGCCCTTTTTTGTTTTAACTAGTTGCTTTCGGTTTATTTATTTATGTTTAAGTAAACAGATACTTTTTATGTGATTTGATATATATGAGAATATACTCGTCAACAATGCCAGATTGGGAGAACAATTATCAAATTTGCGGTTGATAATAATTCAATAATTTACAATGTTTTCGCGCGAGATAGGTGTGATAAGGAAAGTGGTAGACAACTCCAGTATTTGTCCAAAGTTGACAGAGGGTTGAGGTTTCGCTTTTTCTTTTTGGTCAGTGCAAAATATATGAAAACAAAGGGCGAATTTATATTGATAGGCACAGTTTTTAATTTAAAAGCCGAGGAACAGGTGGAGAAACCTTCCAGTGAGCGAGAAATAACACAGCAATTTTTTTTCTTCACATAATGCATTCAAGCATGCTTTATTTGTAATCTACTCTTTTTAGCTATCCTCTTTAACGTACTGTAGATCAGTAAAGTAATGAGTTCTTGACTTGCTTTAGTTCTGGATGACCATGAATATCAATAAAGACTATCCCTGTATTACATCCCTCAGGGGGGAATATCAATAAAGACCATCGGCCTGTATTACATCCCTCTGGGGGGCCACGCCATCAAAAGGCGTATCTTTTGTTGATTAAAGTAAAATAACTATCTAATGCTTTTTTTTGCATTAAAGAAGTTAAATTTAGCCACGGCAGCCAAGAATTGATTTGTTTGCACACACAGCGAAGTCATATAACTGTAAAGGGATTCCAAAATGTACGTTCCATTTATCGATTTTCCTTAAGATCTTTGTTCATCTCCATTCTTCTTTGTCTAATGTCGCGGCGACCAACAATTGATTACCGGATGATTTATAGTTATGAATTCCATTTAAAAAATAAGCATCTACTTAAAGAGTTACAATTTAGAACTTTCGTGAACCTGTTAACATACACGTTGGACGCAGTTTACAATTGACGATCGCGAACCAGGACTCAACGAAAGTGCGCTGTAAATTCTGAAATGCAGGCTTACAACAGGGAACACCCATACTATTACAGCTATCTACAATGCTTCTGCCAGCCTACAGCCCTCAGCTATCCGCCACAAAGCCATCAGTACCAGCCGCACTTTCGACCCCACTTCGAAAGCCAGTTGCAGAAGCCATTTCAGTCATCTTTCTCTATCGAGTCGCTTCTTGGAGGCGAGAAGACGTCAGAGGTAAGCATGCCTTCCTTAGCCAGCACTGCCTCCTACATCAAAAAAACAGACCCCTCTGTTGAAGCTAAACTTAAAGGGCTCGTGGAACGGAGGCGAAACAACAGCTCAAAAGTATCGGACAGCTTCGATAATCGAGAAAAATCAACAGCGATGACAGAGGTGCGGAAAGCAGAACTTTTCGGTAAGTCGTGCACGGCTCTGAATGTTTTTTGAGTTTTCCTACAACATAAATTCGCTTTTTAACAGAAAAGTTTAGTAAACAAGAGAGATTCTGACACACTTTTATGAATTCCCATCGAGAAACCTTTGTTGGTGAGTCGTGCAGGGTTCTTAATTTTTTGGAGTTTTCCTACAGCATATATGCGCTTTTTAATAGAAAAATCACGTAAACATAAAAGATTCTGACGCACTTTTATGAATTGACATCGAGAAGCCTATGTTGGTAAGTCGTGCAGGGCTCTTGATTTTTTTTAGTTTTCCCACAACGTAAATACACTTTTAATAGAAAAACTACGTTAAAAAGAAAGATTCATACACAATTTCAGTAATTCGAATCGAGAAACCTTTGATTGATTTGTGAAAGTAACTCTCAAACCTGTTTTCCACAAACAAAAATTGAAAATTTTTAAAGAGCAAACATTTTTTCGTAATGATCATAACATTGGCTTCTCATCCGCCGACATGTTCTCGAGGAATCACATCTCTGATACCAATTGGTAGAACTTCAATTCTATCTTGAATGGCACACATGTATACAGGTTTAAGAAGGTGTGCCGATATACAAAACAAAAGTTGACTCTGTTTTTGTAAAGTTGGTGCGTTCCATTTCATACCATGGGCGTTGGTTAGCTTCTTGAACCAAGCGTTATGATCTTTCTGGTTAACTCAGTAATCAAGTGTGATGAAAGAATCGGTATGGATGGCCGTAACTTGGCCATAAGATAAGGTAATTTAGTGTTATCAACTGAGATGATAACGTAAATTGGCCACCGTAAAGAGTTTAAAGGCTGACGTTTCGAGCGTGATAAGTGATCACCGCAGGCCGTAAGTGCTAAGAGCACAGCCATCGTTGAATGTATGGCCGGTTTAACAGGTGTTGAAAAACCGTAGGTGACGTTTTCAGCTTTCAAGTATGAATAAAAGCAAGAGGAAGACTTTAAAGCCTCGAGAAAATTGAGATCAATAGAAAACAATTATTAGAAAAAAGTTCGTGTTTTATTCAATTGTAATTCTCTGAGGAGTGTTAAGCCTGCACTTATACAAAAATGCATGTGTACAACTCTTTAGCACCATTAAAAAAAAAACTTAACATCACGAGCAACTACGTAAATTAAGAAATAAAATATATCAGGATTCATCGATAGAAGATACGCTTAAAAACTGAAAGGCTTTCGGAAGAAAAAAGCAAACTCGATGTTGATGAAGCAATAACTCCAAACAGAAAATAAGGTAACAAATAGGATTAAAACCTGTTTAGAAAGGAATAAAAATGCAGAGACATCGAGGAACAACTGAACTAGAACGAAAAAAAAAATTTTTTTTATGCTCTTAAAATTGCTGATAATTCTCTCGTGGCTAAATTGTTAATAACACTGATTGTATTGTTTTTTTGGGCAGCCATAAATGAGTTTGCTGTTTTTGTGGTTTTTTTTTTCACTTGAAAAATATTTGCATTTTAATTGGTTTCCCTCGTCTATTGGCGTTTAAAAAGTTCGAGATAATTCTATTCTGCACACTTTAGGAAAGTAGTTGCATCCAAAAAAGAGAAGTGTATTTAGTTACCGTGTAAGAAAGAAAATGAGAGGGCATACAATGAAAGATACGTTAGAAGTGAAGTAATGTCTGCTTAAAACATTGAAACGTTCATAAAATGAATCTTTTTGTCATAAATGATACATAGTAAGTTTTTTTAAAAAAATGAAAAACCAGGTAGTGCGTTTTTTCTAGCTTTTATCTATCTTCCTTTCTCTTTTTCCGTTGATATCGCCTGCATCTTACTTCTAGAGACTTTTTTTCTTTGTTTATTTTAAGTTTTGAAGGGAACGCTTTGGCCTCTGGAAATTTCGAGGATCTAATTAAAAAAACAGCAAAACATTCCATAAGTTCCGTGTATCTACCATGACGACAACGTTGCTTTGATGAATTACGAATTGTAAACACAGCGGTCAAAAATGTGGCATGCGCTAGAGGATCAATCTTGGTCAGCAGCGCAACATTTTGCTGCGCAAAATTTTAAAAGAAATCATAAGAAACCAACCGCTGTCACGAAAAACATGCGAAAGAAAAAAAACACATTCATGTAAATCTCTAAAGGGAATCAAAGTACGAGAAAAGGAAACTTGAGACTTTATGAGCACATAGATTATTTGATTACAAGAAACCTGTTGATTTCCCATTCTATTTTGAGGTTTACCAAAAAAGTTGTAAGGTTTTCAAACACTCCGACGTCAGTTCTCGCTCCTATAGTTGTTTATGGGACAACTTGGTTTTAACGCCCTAAAATACGTCACTTAGCCTTTACAATATTCGCTCATGTGCACATGCGGGGATATTTGACCTCTATGTCGACTAACCGGGTTTATTTTCTCGGCAGCTGACTAGTTTGTTCCTCTACTTAATATAATTCTTCAAAAATTTCAGTTCCATAATGACTGACTGGAGAACTTTTGTGTCGAAAGTGTTGAAAGTAACTGAGTTATTGTCCAGAAAACTCGCGCCACTTTCTCATCCAATCAGATGCAAATGAGAAACACGACCTGGAAGTTCACGTTTTACCGCTCTTCAAGAGCTCTCCGGGATACTTACAGTGCAAGCCCTGTGTGTCTTCTCATGAGGCAGTTTGGTCGTTGTTATTTTGTGTTCTCATTGGCTCTTAATCGAATCTTAAAAGTATTTTTCTTTCATCTGGTTAGCCTTCGTGATTGCTTTGGCGAGTTGGCTTTACGACATTCGATCGAAAAGTGATTAGGTGTCTTCAGTAAGTGTTAAAGCAAAACCAATACAATTCTAAAATTACTTTTGATATTTGATTATATCGTTTACTTTCTGGACTTGTTTTTATAGCTGGTGAACCAGCAAGTACCACACAAGAAAAGAAAAAGGGTTTAGTGGGCACTCACTTCAAAAGAAAGCGACCCCGTACGATGTTTACCTTATATCAACTCGAGAGGATGGAGGGAGAATTCCTGCGCCGTCAGTACATCACGGGTAATCAGCGGTTGCAACTGGCCAGCGAGCTTCAGTTGAGTGAGACGCAGGTCCGAGTTTGGTTCCAGAACAGACGGATTAAATGGCGCAAAGATGTGATGAAGAGGCAGTTTGATAGCTACTAGGATCTATGCAGAATAAAATAAATCTAATATAAAGAGAAATAAAATAAAAAAATAAGAACAGCCCAAAAAAAAAAGAGCAAAAAAATGGTCAGTATGCTTGAAAACTTCACGAAGTAGGTCTTACTAGTGTTTAAGAACTGCACATGCTTGTTATGTCGGGCTCAAAATCTCACGTGCTTGGTTCAATATAGAACAGTGATAGCCTCACTGGCCTCGCCACAAAATAAAGATATCTAACTTAGCGCGGGGAACCACACTATACTGTAGACTAAAAAGAAATAAACTCTAGCATATAGACTGCATGCGGTGACGATTTGAGTCTACACAGGCAGACTGCAACAGAGAAAATTTCAAAGAGCATATCCTTGTGAATAGAATTCAAACTGCGATATGGCTTGCAAGACCTTCCGACCGCGTACCTCCGAGACAATAGTTGGGCGCTGATAACTGGGAGATATTACTAGAGGCAGTTAGTTGTGGTTCAGAGATGAAGCACAAATACCACTATCCCTCCCGTCAGCTTAGTCAGTACTCTCATAAATGGTCTATCGAGCAGAGCCTGTGGAAGAATGGAATGGGAGGGGTGAGAGGGGGAGAAAAGCGTACTAGATGTTTCAACGGGAGGTACACCCTAATTCGTGCCAGACTGATCTCCCTTTAAGCTCTTGCCTCATGTCGAGCTAGAAAACTGTCGGGTAGCAGTCTGCTATCAAAAATTACTAGTATACATTAACTCGACTCAATGATCGCGATGTCTCTCAGGTGATCTGGTAACGAAAACAATACTAACTTCCTGCCTAGTCCTTCTCATTCATTGTAAACAAAATGGCGTCGGAAGAGGAAAATTCTGAAGATTTATGATCAAGGCTTTGGCATTCATGCGAAATTTTCATCCAACAGAATATTTCCCAGTAACAGAGTCATGAAAGAAAATGTGCCAAAATTCTGAGCGATTTTGTCGTGATTTTGGAGCTAACGTAATTATTTCGAGAAGACGCGATCATCACAAACCCGCCGCTGCGGTCGTCGATCTCGATGGAACGTTTGAAAGTGCTTCTGTTTGCGTGGCATTCATTGACTTTCAACGCACAGATTTCCCGAGCAGTTGTAGTTGACACCATATTTGAACCAGTATTCTGCCTCTTTGATTTTTTTGTTCGGATTTTAGGGCCGGTAAGGAACTAGCTAACTTGTACCTTTGGGACGTGATGGGATGGGGAGAATGCGATGGGGTTTGGGGGCGGGAGGAACGAGAGATGTGAGACGCATCGTGGGAAACTAGATTGGATGAACTTTGGGCTATTTAATCCTCACACTGTTTAAGATAAGAGTTGACACGGTAGGTTAATGGTTAATAAAAGTTAGGAGGGTGTTTGGTAAAGTTTCCGCGCAGCCCCATACTATTGTAAAACAAATCTGTTTTCCCAGTGGAAATGTATTGTTTTTGTCATTGTTTTCTCTGTTCAAGAACTAAATGCATAATGTAGGATGGGGTTGTGCGGAAATTTTACCGGGTGTTTATACAGTGGAAGTGACACGTAGTTAAGTCCAAAATTGATACGTGACGCGTGTATTTAAAGAAAGGCGAATTGAGACGAGATTTGAAGTTTTTCCTTTTAACGCACCAAATACTGTTTAAAATGCATGTGATGCATGAATTTCTCAAAAATTTGTGATTGAAACTTGAACAGAACCTCCCCATTACCACCCTCGGCTCTGCCATGGGTTCCAAAGGATGTTCAATTTTGAAACCTCCCCACCTCCCCTCCTTCTCGTCCTCCTCTCCCCCCCCCCCCCCCCCCCCCCCCCCCCCACTTCAGTCCTTCATTGTTGCATCTCACTGAGTATTTTACTTCTACCAAGCATACACAATGAGCATTCATGATCACAATGTTCTTTTGTTTTGTACACTGTTTATTTCAGGCATTCCTTTTAGTCGTGATTGGTCTTACAACGTCTGTGGTGGTGATCTATTATGCATATTTGTTGCCTGTTATCCAAGAGTACAGCACACCTTGGGTTGTCTTTCATTTAATAACAGCTCATTGGCTTTTGATCAACATTGTTTTTCATTATTTTAAAGTTGTCTTCACGTCACCTGGTCTAGCCCCTCAGGTAATTGACATAATTATTAATTTTAACTCCCGAGAACAGAATGAGAATTTTCCCTTTGGCTTTTACACATTTCCTTGTAAATAAATTACAATAATTTGAGATAAGATCAAGATAACAACCTCCATCTGACAAGTTTGAGTATTCTTGTTACCTGTTTGTTAGATGATGTATAAAAACTATAGGGAGAATTTTTATGTGTATCACTTCTGGGACTGAAAGAGTCGACACATTGATTTAATTTGTTGATGCATGTCTCTCTCTGTCTCCAGTGATTGGAGTGTTTGTAAGAGTTGTTCACCATTGGGAACTATTGTGCAATGGGACAATCAATAATAATTCATTATCCAGATGAAGTTTTAACAAATATCCAATGGACTGAAATTGAAGATAAATATTTTATTGCACTTATTTATCTCTATTTTTTGGCAGGAAACTAATTTAGAAGATCTGAAAAGTGGGAAATACAGCCTTTGTAAAAAATGTAAGTCAGAGACCTTCATTCACTATAAAATAGCCATCTCTTAGTACAAAATAATTGACATAGCGGTCATGTTCTCACTGGTTGCTAAGTGTGTTTCAATGAGACTAGCACTGCTAAATGCAGTTTTAACATTTCAAGTTTGTGTATAACTTTATGAAGTACTTTACTAAAGGAAAAGTCAAAGTCAGATTCATTCATTGCACAGTCATATTGAAACATCACGGGATTGTGAGAATTCTTAAAAGTTCTTTAAACTCAATATACAATCTCATGGTTGTATGACTATCTTAAATTCTCCTAACTCCCATTTTGTTTGGATAAGCCTATGTTCCCACTGAAAAAGGTTATTTAATGAAAACTTGCTCACAACTCCCAAGATCTGATTGTTAATTCTCCTCTCTAGTTGCTATACATTTCCTTGTAAATGAGTTATGAGAATTTGGTGTTAGATCAAGATAACAACTTCCACCCTATAAGTTTTATAATTCTCATTACCTGTTTGCTGGATGAGGTATGGATATTATAGGGAGAAGTTATATGTCAATCACTTCTGAGAGTTAAAGGGTTAAAGGAGGTATGCTTTTTTCTTAACTTAAAATTGTTAAGAATTAGGAATATTAAATTATGTGGATAGAGTAGAGTCATTTAGAATAATTACTTCTTTTTTTTTTGGGTAGAGACTAATTGGTTTCAATTAAATTTATCATTATATTGAAGGTGTTCGAATTAAACCACCAAGATCACACCACTGCTCAATTTGCAAAAGGTAAGTGAAAATGATTCTACCATGCTCCAGTCAGTTAACTGTCAACTGTTATAATTAACCCTTTACACCCTAGCATCAGTGTGCATATTCTCGTTTCTGTTTTCCACAATTTTGCTAACTTAAAGGTGCTAACAAGGAGAATTTTGATAACAATCAAGAGCTTAGCATCAGTATGTATTTTCTCCTTTCTGTTCTCTACACATTTCCTAACCTAAAAGTGCTAACAAGGATAATTTTTGTAACAGTCATTAAGCTGATGATCATTTCTTTTAATTATTCTTGTGACCTTAGTGAGTGATTCAGGGGTGATTTTGTAAGGAGAAATTAGATGCTGGTCACTCTTAGGGGTTAATGGGTTAGGTGTATTGAACGCTTCAAAGTTACCACAACAACCAATCAGAGCTAAGGAAAATACCCTAGAGCCAATAAGAGCTCAAAGCAAAAACAAGCAAACTGTCTAAAGGGTGGAAAAGGTTGTAGACTGATTAGTTGAAAGGGACTGATACTAGTTTTCTGGACCAATCACAAAGCAAAGTGAAGAAAAACCAATGCAATCTTGAATTGATATTATTTTAATAATCATATGATAATATGTTAGGACTCAATTGAAAATTTTACTTTACCAGCAGAGCCACCTTAACTGCCTCTTTTGTTTCTTTTATGTAGGTGTGTTTTGAAAATGGATCACCATTGCCGTATCCTTCAGATATGAGTTTCCTTTTTTGACAGTGATATTGTTTTAGTCCAATACTCAATAATAATGATATCATAAATCTGTCTTTTTACAAACAATTAATTTTGTAATACTAGGGTATTTTAACTGTAGTTATGATAGTGCCACATTTTATGGTGAAATTCAGGAAACCATAAACATTGGAAGTGTTCAAAGAATGGTGAATTATGTTTTGAAGAAAATGCAAAATAGACATTTGAGAACAAGCACACTGGATTGCTTACAGGAACAGCAGCCAGTTTGTGGTTTTGAGGTTTTTCTGCATGTCCTAAAAATAACTGCATCTGTTTTGTACTTGTCAGAATAAAACAGTGATTAATATTATCTTGCACCTCAATTTCTAATCATTTTTCCTTCATGTTCACCAAGATTGCAGCTGCACTTTTTGCTTTTTCCTTGACCTTATTTGAAATAAATTAGCATGGATTAATAACTGTGTGGGCCATTTCAATCACAGATATTTCATATCATTCTGCTTCTTTATGTGTCTTGGAACAATTTACGTCACTGTTACTTCCAGCAATCTTTTCATCAAACACTTTTTCCATGACTGGGTAAGTTCTCTTTAATCTTCTTGCAGTTATTTTGACTCATTAAAGTTGTTCCACTGCATGCTTTCTGTTGAGTAGAATTAATTACCATGTATTCCTAAAGGCAGAGGGCAATCATCCAAAACTGCAAAACCCTAGAAAAATTCAATCAGAACCAAAAACCGCATGCAAAACCGTCAAAACTGACACATTTTCACATCCCAGTTTTCAAAACTCTAATTGACCTGATACAGTCAGTGAAAAGTGGAGTATACAGAGGTTTCAAGATCAGTGGAGGTACATAATTGCTTCTCAGATCAAAGAGAAACCAGGACCCAAACAGGCAAAACTGGAAACCTATTTATTATTTAGTGATTTTTACAAAAACTGAAAACCAAATGCTATAAATCGGAAAATCCACAAACTGCAGTGAACACCAAAACAAGTTTTTTGGCACAAAAAGCAAAAGGCTGATCTAATAAATAGCCAAAACCACGAAATAGAAAACTCAATGCCCCCATCCTAGAGATACAAATTCAGCATTTGTTGAATACACGGCATTACATTTTATGAAAGTGTACATGTAAAATGTTTTAAAGTGATATTGCTGTATTGAAATCCTACTGTTGTGATGGCTTACTCAGTGGTAAATCACGATTTTGTAAAAATATTTTTTTGCTTCAGATGATGTTTATTTTTAGTGATGAATCGATATTATCCTAGCCACATAATGAAGACCTGGAGTCAGTTCATTGACAATCTAATGGTATCTCTGTCAATGATACTGTACTCTCTGATCAGAGAATTATTTTGCTCTTCCTCTACTCTTTTGTCTTCCTTTTGTAGAATTACAAGCTCATTCCAAGCTCTAATGTATCCAATGGGCGAAATGTCACATCATTGTCATCAAAACCTGTTTTTGATAAGTTGCATGTAAGTCATTTATTAACGTTTCAAACTCATTACTGGAGTCTTTGCTTACTCCCAACACCCAAAGGGATTTACTCTCTATCACGGGAGGGTTGGGGTGGTAAGGGAAAAGAACCTGGGTGATCAGTTGCAAGATCCAGGGGTACAAATGCGTAACATTAGGGAAAAACTAGC